ATCAGATGGCGCTGTCCTCTGGAACTGTATCAAACAAATCCCTTCGAAATGAAAACCAGACAGTGAGCAAATCCCTTCCAAATCAGAACAAGACTTTGCCCATCAAATTGTTGCCCTTTAGCACYGAACCTTCTCCAAATAGCTCCTGTACCTCCCATGTAGATGTTGTCGATCAATATTGCCGTGATTTTAATTGTAATACAAAAAGGTGGACACATGAACGGGACACCCAATATCCAGATGTTCAGGAGGAAGACGAGGGAGGATGCAAAATGATGTGGTTTGTAGGTTTCCATGATAATAATAATCCAGATTCCGGGTGCAACACACAAGGAAGKGGGTATAAGAATCTTTACTCGCTTGCCCTCAACTCGGCGATCCTGAATGCCAGAGAAACGCTCCAGCCCGTCTTGATGCTTGGGCGACTTGGCCTGAATGCAGAATCTGAAATGACAAAATTTTCTAGGATTGGACGGTGGGCTGAAGAGAGGGGAGCGTGGGTGGTCAACGTGCCCAGGCTTTCCTTTCAAGAAACTGTGAACAGATACTACCCAGATATGAACCTCGCCCATAAACAGGGCCCGTGGTTGCGCATGGAAATCCCAAGGCTGATCAAGGAGCACAAACTCATGGACAAAGCACCCAATATATGCAAGCGCCATATTCTTTACACTGACACGGATGTTATGTTTACCAACAAACTGCGTAGGAAAAATCTTGAACAATTGGTAGATACTCTCTCTGTGCAAGAAGGATCAATAATGTATGGTCGTGAATCCTCAAAAAGTGTTGAGATGGTAAATACGGGGGTGATGGTAATTGGTGTGGAAAAATTTGGCGAAGAAATCCCTGGAATGCTTGCGTACTTTAACGAAACTGGAGAGCAAATCGCATTTGACCAAGGCCTTGTGAACAACTATTACAGAAAAAAGAGGCTGAAGCGTTCCTTGCTGCCGATTCATTACAACTGGAAACCCTATTGGCAACTAGAGCCTAGCACCTTTGAAGAGGTAAAAATCATCCATATGCAGGGACCAAAGCCGGGGAGGGGACTGGAGGAAGTTGGACTCTGTGACGTGCCGAACCTTCCGAGTGACTATATCAAGCACTATGGGTTACTTYACAAGAGTGGAATCTGCTGCGATAGAGGGAAGGTTGCGGGTTGGCTTATGRACTCGTACAAAAAATTGCAAGCTCCATTCGAAGACATTTGCGGCGCATAGTGAGCTGCGAGTGCTTTATTTTGTAATTTAATTATTCTGTTTTCTCGGGTTTTAGTACGAACTTCCTCCGTCCGAAATTGACCATGCGGTATCAAATCTGTGTCTCTTGTAGTACTACCAGTAGTAATGGGTTTAAAAATTTCATGTTTTAATTAGTTCCCAACCAAAAGGAATCCGTTTAGAATAGAAGAACACCTTAAAGCTGTCCGKTTGGACCCTATTTATTAATGAATCCTGTTAAACTAAAAAATCWCAAGTTGATTGTTTAGACCTTTAAGGGAATGGCCCAATAACGATCGCGGAATGGAATACAACAAGGTTGTACGGTTGCCTGTGTTCTTTCGGGTCATTTAATATTTATTGTACAGAGAAATTATTGCCGTGAAATGCGCTGCGCTGCCCTGTGTCGTAGCAGAGAAGTCTACAAACAACGGACGCATTTCTTGTGCTTTGGTTGTGTGTCGTTTTGGGTCGTATCACGCCTTTTGTTGGTTTGGCTTCGCTTGCTCGGCTCGTTGCTCGTGTCCGCGGGCGCTRCTCACCGGTCGCCAAAGTCGTCGCACCACGAGTCCTCGTCGTAGCCCAGCGTGATCGCGGCCTTTTGCTGTTCGTCCGTGAGCTCGAACCAGGTCTTTCCAAAGTGCTCCGGCTCCCGGTCGTTGTCCCAGGACTCCCGGTCAAAGCCGAGGASCAGCGCCGCCGACGAGATCGCCGGGGGGAGCTCCTCCCAGTCGAGGTCCTCCCACTCGTCCCCCACTAGTGTGGGGTACGAGTCCTCCCCCCCAAAGTCGTTGCCGTTGTTCGCCGCGTGGTAGTCGTTGTAGTCGTCCCACCACAGGTCCTCGTCGTACCCGAGCWTGAGCGCGGCGGACTTCTCCTCCTCGCTCAGGTCGGGCCAGTCCCGGTCGAACCGCGGGATCTTCTCGTCGTTGTCCCAGGCTCGCTGGGTAAAGCCCAGAACGGTGGCCGCSTCCTGGACGTCCGCCGGCATGTCCTCCCAGTCCTCGTCGGTCCAGTTGACSTCTTGCTCCTCCTCCTCCCACTCGAAAAAGTCGTCGCACCAGGTCCTCTGGTTGTACCCGAGGGTCTCCGCGGCGTCCTGCTGGGCCTTCGTCAGGTCGGGCCAGTCCTTGTCAAAGTGGGGGGTCCTTCCCCCCCGGTCCCAGGTGGCCTGGTCAAAGCCGAGCTCGGTGGCGGCGTCCCGGACCGAGGAAGGCATGTCGGCCCAGTCCTCGTCGAGCCAGTTGTTCTGGACCTCGTCCTCGTACTCGTCGAATTCCTCGCACCAGGATTCCTCGTCGTATCCCAGCTCCTTGGCGGCCTCCTGCAGCTCGGGKGACAGATCGGGCCAGTCCGTGTCCATCGCCAGGACGGGTTCGTCGTTGTCCCACTCCCACTGCGAAAAGCCAAAGAGCCTCGCGGCGTTCTGGGCCGACGCCGGGAGCTCGTCCCAGTCGTACTCGGGGTAGAACTCGCGGCGCTCCTCCATTTCGTTCTCGTACTCGTCGTAGTCGATGCACCAGGTCTCCGAGTCGTAGCCCATCGTGCGGGCGGCGTCGCGCTGCGCCTTGGTCAGATCGTCCCACTCCTTGTCAAAGTGTTCGGCGTGGCCGTCGTGGTTCCAGGTMCCGCGGTTGTAGCCCAGGACGTGCGCCGCCTGCTGGACCTCSAGGGGCAGGGCTTCCCACTTGTAGTCCTCGTATCCGTTGTGGTCGGGCCGKGRGACCTTGTTGTTCGACGACCGCAGGCCGCCGAAGCGTCCGCTGTCCTTCTGTTGCTCATAGACCCCAAAGGCGACGCCGAGGGCCACCACCGTGACCACAACGAGGCACAGGGTCATCCGCATAAAGGTTCCGTCGGCTCGGCTCCGGCACGTGTTGCACAGTATCGCCTGCCGCGGTTGTTGATTGGTATGGAATCGCATCGCATTGTTTCGTGTGGTATCATGGATTGGGAATCAATGCGTGTGATTGGGTCGTGGTGAGAGAGTTGAGGCAGGTAGGGTAGGGTTGGGTTGGGTTCGAAGCTATAGATGCCAACCAAAGGCACCGATGCTTCGGTGTGCATTGCGCTTGATCAACCAACGAAGGAATCCAATGTTATCAAACGAGAACAGCAAAAACTCACCATTGTAAAGTCGAGAGTATGCTAAAAAATACTGTATTTGGATTGGTCTGTATGTTAGTCGATGTAACAAAGCAAGGGTTTGTTGATGGCAACACCCTGGTTCGATATATCGATGGATGCGGTATCGCAGATTGTTTGGGAGCGAGTGGGGGACGGAGGGATGTTCGTAAGGTAGGTACCGGTATGTTTCGTACTCGAACTGCTCCAAGCCAGCGATGCAGCCATCCTTCGATGTGATTTTGTCGACCCRAAGTTCCTTCGGTTTGGATGCGTTTTCGTTCGGACCACGGGAATCACCCCACCCACAAGCTTGCTCCAAAGGGATACAAMATTGAAAATTTGCGTGCTCGCGCTCATACGTACGGTACTCCTATTGGTACAATGTGTRCGGCACTGTACGATGCTAATCGTCAGTCGTGTGTCCGAAAATGATCCAAACACGACACAACCGACGGAACTCCTTGGACACGCAATGTATTGTAGTCTTACGTAAAAGTATGGTACTTACCGTACCTCACTTCGAGTACCATACAAGTTATCGTCGGATTGTGCGTTGGAGGCAGAACCGGCACGGGTCCGTGACCCTCGWTGGCAAAACGCGACCTGCCCGGCGGCATTGGCTGCCATGGAGGGGAGGCGAGAAACACATTATTGAGTCACACAATTGTATGTATCAATTTCTTGCGGAGAAAGGATTCCCGGAGATTTTGGGTGTCGTGGAAGGCCGCGCGTATGAAGCCGTCTATCCTCCCGACGAACGGAATTCTGATAATTCATGATGCTGTAAGTATTAAGAATTACCGCACTTCGTAGATATGTACTGTMYTTCGTACTACTAACATTTACCGTAGGAAGTGACCACGAGTAGGCTAGGAGTAGACTCGGGGTCAGCAGGGAATAGAGTATCGTACTTATCATAGATACTAAGCTACATTCATTTACGTCCAAAGTCCAAAACTCCAATCAGTGTTTGGTGAAAAATAAGGATAGTGTTAACTGTTAACTTCGCATTCACATATTGAAAGTATCGTACGGTACGGTACCGGGTATGGTGGTATGCATTGTACGGTCCCGACAAGGGCATATATGCCGTACGCGTCCTCTGGTTTGTCGTTGCGAACCGCACCGGTGCATCCACGAGCAAAACCACGCGCGCATCGCGCTGTACTATGGGACACAGACCAACTGTGTCTCGCCAGACACGTCATCGCCTTCGGTTGGATCCCACTCCCAACGCCGTTCACTATGGATCCGGCTAACGGCAGAAACAGGAAACGCTCGGCGAGCCCGGTTTTGCTATCGCCGCGCGACCGCCGTGCCACCGGGGCTYGATCGAATCCATCGGTGATCGCTTCGYTGGAACCTACGAACCTTTTGGTCGATGCGTTGCTTGTTCTGTTTCACGATTACCGAGTTGGTTCRAACGCAATTCCACTGCGATTTCGCTTTGTTCGTGGTCTCGYTGGCATGCAAGAATCACGGCCGGTGCGCACTCAACTCCCGTCGCCAAGCAGCTTTTCGTAGCGTCAGGGTATTCGCTGGAACAAACTGCCGCCACACGACGACGATACCGCAACTCGCCGTTTTACGACCCCGTGTTCGGACCCCTCTGTCCATATTCTTTCCACTCTGTTCACACCCACCACCAACCCTCCAACTTTCTAAAAAAATATACCTATAACTACCTTCCCCACCCGCTCCAAAATGATGAAGTTTGCCACCCTTTTCCTCCTCGCCGCCGTCCTTCTTTCCGGAGGCGCCAGTGCCGCCCAGCGGCGCCAACTCCGGGCCCGGGGRGCCGCCGACGACCTCACCAGCGACATCGATGCTTCCGTCCTCAACCGAATCAAGCAGCGATACCACAGCAGCATCGACCACGCCGTGGCTCCGGCCACCGAACAACGGGTCCTGGCSGAAGACGACGACCTGTCCATGAGCCTCAGCATGTCGATGAGCCTTTCCATGTCGATGAGCATGTCCATGCCCGTCAGACGACGCATGCTGGAAGAAGACATGTCGATGAGCATGTCCATGAGCATGGAGGACGAAATGTCCATGTCCATGAGCATGTCCATGTCCATGTCGATGTAAGCACACCAGGAATTCGAAAGGAGGGAAAGCAAGCAAGCAAGCCCCTGGTTTCGCTTCCTCGATTGTCGAGAGGGGAGAGGGTCGGGAGAAACCGGGAGCGTCGAGTCGATGCAAAACCACCGCACTCGTGTCGCGTGTGCATTAACGACGGTTGTGTTTGGTGCCGAATTTTTGAAATGGCCGTGGAAGGACGATTCTTTCGTCACCTGGTTCCCCGGAAAGGGCGAAGGATCGCCTTGGCCAACAACCGGCTGCCGAGACACCCCGCACCCCCTTTGCGATTCCGAAAGGGTCGCTGTGTACATGGTCCATAATAGTAGAAGCACAACCATAAATGTGATAAGAAATGTCTTTTTGTCCACTAAAACTCCCGTAGTGTCTTCTGTTGTCTGTTCCGTCGTAGCCATGGCTTTCCTTTCCTTTCCTTTCCTTGCCCGGTTAGGGCATCGACAGACCCGTCGAGTGCTCCCTCCGGCAGGCCTCCCCGGAACAGGCCAGCAGCCGCCTCGTCTTGTCGGCGAGTGCCTTTTGCAGKGGGACMGGGGCGTCTCCGATGAGGTTGTCCAGCTCGTACGGGTCCGAGTCCAGGTCGTACAATTCCCGCTCGAGCGGTGGGGTTTTGCGGTTCGTCCAATCGAAACGGGAGTCCCGAAACTCGATGTACTTGAGGTTCGCGCTCGCCGTGCTGCCTTTGACGATGGCGCGTCGTCGTTYCGGTGAACGACCGGCGCCMCCGGCCCTCCCCCCTTGYGGGGTAGCGTTGTGGGCAAGGCCCGGCGCAGGGGCCACGGTCGGCCGCCGGGGGAGAATCCGCAGCGCCACAAAGGAATGGTTGTAGGTGTCGATCAGGTGGTCGTAGCGAACGACGTTTCCCAGGCTCGTGTACTCGATCAGGAGCGAGGTTGCGGATTGTCGCATCGGTGAAAGAACGGCGGACGAGGACGCGCTTGTTTTGTTTGCGGCCGTGGTCTCGCTTGTCTGCCGCACCGGCCTCTCGGCTCTTCGGTGCCCGCCGCCATCCAGCATCGCGCTCGCCAGGTTGGTCCCGTCCATCGCACCGGGAAGGATATCCTGGGAACCGTGCTTGCCGGTCGCGAGCCCCAGCAGCGTTGGCACCAGGTGGATGTGGGAGAAGAGAGTGCCCCCTCTCTCGGTCTCGCTCTCGGTCTTGCCGCCACCGCGTCCCGAAGGAATCCCCGGGCCCCGGACCATCATCGGGACCCGTACATCGTTCTCGTAGGGATGGAGCTTGCACTGCGGCATCCGGAACTGGCCCAGCCGGTACCCGTTGTCGCTCGTGAAGAGGACGTACGTGTCCTGCAGGACGCCCAGCCGCTCCAGGGTCTCCACCAGGCCCTCGACGAGGTCGTCGACGCTGAGCAGGGTCTTGAGGCGGGAGACGTAGAGCTCGTCGACCCYCGCGGCCTCGGTTTCGGTCAGCGGCGGCTGGGTCCGGACCAGCCAGTGGTGCCCGCTGCTCCCGGGCGCATCGGTGGCGTTGTAGTTGGGCGTTCTCGGTGCCTCTGCCTCGGGAATGTCTGCGTCCCTGTACCAGGGTGCCGGCGTGGCCACCGGAAAGCCGTTTCCGTCCTGGATGTGGGGCGCCTTGACCGAGACGAGGGCGAAAAACGGCCTGGGACCCTTGTCCAAAGAAGAACCGCAGGAGCCGGAGCGCCCCYTCTTYGTCTCAAGGACCTGCTTCTCGATCCAGGAAAGGCTCGCGTTTCCGATCACGGCCGTCGAATAGCAGGGCATCCCCGTGGACTCCGTACAGTTGTCAAAGACCACGCGCTCGACGTTCGCAGTGGTGGCATCGGTGGCGTCGCAGCCACCCCCGGTCCTGGTTCCGTGGGTAAAGGCAGGATCGAGGTAGTCTCCTCCCCCGTTGATGAGCATCTCGTCCACTCCGTTCGGCACAAAGCGCGTGGGATTGTGGGTGTTGAGGAGTTTTCCAAAGATCCCGATGGTGTAGTCCAGGTTGTTTAGGTTGTTTTGGTGTTTTGGGTTTTGGTTGGACCCCGAAGACGACGACGCAAAGTGGTTCGAGAAAAAGTCCCTGTCCCAGAAGGGATGCCTTGGATCGTCCTCGACGTCGACGTGCATGCACCCCTGGTGCTTGGCACCCTCCTTTACCCTGAGATTGTGGTACATCTTGCCGGTGAGCAGCTCGGCGCGGCTCGCACAACAAACGGGGGTCTGGACGAACCAGTTGGAGAAGGTGGTGCCGTTGCCGTTGCCGTTGYCGTTGCTATTGYTRYTGYT